TTTATGTATATTTATAATGAGGAATATATGACTATTATATACTCACATAGAGCTATTATGAATCATTATATATGTATGTTTTATATACTCATATATATTATAGTAGGAGTATATATGGGCATTATAAGTATTTATGTGTTTGTGTGTACATGTATGTTTTATACAATTTTGTTATGAATATCCTCACATTGTACAGGGAGTGTGGACATTTAACTTTATAAGATAATGATAAATAATTTTTCAAAATGGTTTTAGCAATTTACGCTAACAGTAAAATGTAAAACTGACTTTTGCTCCACACCTTCAATAACCCTATCCAAGGAAGTATGTGATCTTCTGTAAAGCAGGCTGGGAAACTGATCATCGCACTCAATGGGTCCAAAGGTCTAGAGTGATAGTGAAAGAAATATTAAAAAGATCATTTTGGTCTCAGGTACAAGCTGCAGTCTCCTATAATGACATACTACAATGGGAAACAACACATCATGTATATTTTTACCTCTCTATCTCATTCTAAATTGACTTCCTACTTGTTTCAAAATGTGGATTATAGGAGTGTAAGCAAAATCATTACCTTCACACTCTAACACATGGGGCCTTGGCAAGGAAACCTTGAGAAACTGGCAAGTGGATCCCTATTTGGGGACCAAAATACTCCATGGTAAGAACCCGCCTCTTGATGCAGCTGTCACAGCAGGTGCGTGCAGACTGGTGAATGTTTATGACAGGTGCAGGTCTGAGCAATGCAAGCTGCAAGGGTCGGGTGAACAGATTGTGTGGACCTTTGTGTCCAACAAACCTCAGCACTTAGCCACAGCTGGTTCTGTAGGTATGGGGGATAGACAAGGCAGCATTTTGATAATTAGAGAAAGAGTCTTTAATGCAAGACAGGCTCACTGTAAAAGGGACAGTTTCAGTGTATAGGAATTTCAAGCATTGTTGGGTTAAACAATTTTTACCAACATCAGTCTTCTCTGTGTCTTCAGCCTGCGTTTGGATTTGAACTACAGCATCAGCTCTGGCCTGGTCTACAGCCTGCCACCCCACCCTGCAGATTGAACTTGGCAGCCTTCAAAACAGCATGAGCCAATTTCTTAAAATAGATCCTTTTATTCACATACACACACACACACACACACACACACACACACACACACACGGAAAAGACTAATATATCCATTATGACAGAATACAGTTGAGTTTGCTTGTACTGAATAAATCTCAAATACCAGGACACAATATTTTGTGAGTGTCAACTTTTTGTTATTGTTTTGCAAACATATTTTATTATTAATGACTGAAAAACATCTATAAACCAGCAGCTGTTAAGTTTGAGTAAAGAGCTAAGTTTAGAAAGAGAGACAATGAGCTAGAGAAAGAAAGAAACAGAGACAGCGAAACAGTGATTTTGAAAAGGAGCCATATAAGCATATGAGAATGTGACACTCATAGCTTAGAGCCTGGATCAGAGTACAAATTCAATAAAAGTAACCTCTATTATCATAACCATTGTCAAGTGCAGTTGTTATTGAATACAGAAAGGAATCATATCAAAAGGGGAAAATTAGACACCCTGTGGCTATGTTGATTAAAAAATATTCAACCATGAGAAAGCTGAACTAAAGTTGCACTTTTCTTTCCTCCTTTATAATTCATCATAATGAATGTGGGGAAGAAAAAATATTCCTCTAAAAATTGATTGGTTTATGCTTCCACTGATTATTATCCCATATACAGAAATAGACCAAAATTGAAACTCTTTCTACTTCATAAAACAGAAGATGCGATAAGCATGGGCAGAAATTTGAAAATAAAACTCTTAATGCTATAATTTGATTCTAAATTTATTTTACTTCATATATATTCAACCTTGAATGACCTAAAAAAATAACCAAGAACCACATATACCATATTACATTTTCTTATAATTCTTATAATTGTTTTCTTTAATCTCTCGGTCTGTTTAAATTAAACTGAAATATGTAAACAACGGTAACCCCAACACTCCATCAGTTAATGCATGTAGCTCAAAGTCAAGAAAATCTAGATAATGAATAGTTCTCTTCACCAAGTCTGGATGTGGCACAAAGATGACATAAGATATAATAGAAAATTATATCAAAATTTCAAACATTAATTATACCTTATTAGAAATTATATTGAATATAAATGTGGTAAAATGTGAGAAACCTATAGAACAGATAATTTAAAACAGATTATTAATAAAACATTATTTAAAACTTATAAACCAGATTATTATTATCCAAATTGTATGCTGTGTATAAGAGACACACTTTACCCTCAAAGCTTCAAATAGGTTGAAAGTGAAAGGATGTGGAAAAAATACCATAAAAACAGTAAATCAAAGAGAGTGGGGCTCCTCAGATACATATAATGTTGCTATGTAGAAATTGTGAAACCAGTACAGCCAAAACTACTGATTCTGAAAGAAAAATCAGAAATGTGCAGTTTTATTTGATGTATTTTAAAATCAAAGGACTCACATTTTTACATTATGTAAAACAAATAAGTGTATGGGCCACATATGACCCCTTGGCTATTAATTTATGACCAACTTATGACTTTAAAAAAACAAATAACTCTAAATAATCCCCTCACCAAATGGAATGAGACTCTCTTAATGTTACTGGAAATGGAGAAAGGATATATGTTATATGAACCTTACAGATGAGAAACAAGCCATTTAATTTCTCTACTATGTGACATTTGTAGATGAGAAACAAGTAATTTAATATCTCTTTCCAGCTCTTCTACCATAGAGACTTAAAACTTAAAACTTTACTTCTTTATTTATCATAACATTTTTTTAAGAAGCAACTTTTGACTGCTCACTTGATAAAAGGAGGAATTTACTGCCTAGCCATTAATGTATTTAGAATTTTTAGTTCTAGATTAGTACTACGACTTGTATATGCCATACAGATCTTTTATAGAACTTCATTGGAAAAGCTGTATTTCCAGATCAGTGTCTAGCATAAAATCAGTATATGCATGGTTCTTAGCCACACATATATCCCACTTTTTAGTGGCACTATTCTAGAGTGCGATGTGAACACTCCCTAGGAAATGTTCAGGTCCTGGAAGGCATTTATCTAAGTCAAGTCCTCTGAAACAAAGTATAGGATCATTGTGCTGCCAGGTTCTCTGGGCATGGTAGTGCCTAAAGATGATTTTATTATTTATTTTGTTTTGTTTACTAGTACAGTAAAAAATAAAAATAATAATCACCAGCTTTTGTTGCTCATTCTGATCATATTGACCTCACCTCCTATATGCTTTTTCACAAATAACTACGGTACATAACATTACAGAATTGGCATTGTCTATTTCCCTCTATCCTCAGTCACATTCAATACCCTTGCACTCTATGAATAGATGCAGAAAAAGAAGAGTTTAGTGAAGGTGAAGAATAAATGGCTGTCATAGGTCATACTCAGCAAAAGACTGAATCTGCATTAAAAGGGGCCAATGGGGCACCTGGGTGGCTCAGTCGGTTAAGCATCCGACTTTGGCTCGGGTCACGATCTCACGGTTCATGGGTTCGAGCCCCACATCGGGCTCTGTGCTGACAGCTAGCTCAGAGCCTGGAGCCTGCTTCTGATTCTGTGTTTCCCTTTCTCTGACCCTCCCCTGCTCACACTGTCTTTCTCTCTCTCAGAAATAAATAAAACATTAAAATGTTTTTTAAAAAAAGGGGCCAATATTACAGTGAGGAAACAATAAATAAAATATTCTTTATATCTTCCTTCCCGTCATCAATGCTGCTTCCCTCCCTCCTTCCCACCACATGGCAAATTAGAGAGGCCATAAATAACTTTCTCAACCATCATAAAGCCTGTCATTCATAATTATTTTTTCTGAAATACACCATCTTATCATTTATCTCAATGATCACTTTTTTGTTTTTGTTTTTGTTTAACTCAATGGTATTTAATTGGAAATTTTAGTGATATTGCATTAACTTTGCAACTACAAAGCATTTATATGAATTTAATGCAGAGAATTCAGTAAATATAGATTAAGAAAAGTCAACCAACTATAGGTTTAAGATGATAAAAATATAGTGACATTTCAGAAGAAAGTATGACAGATACTGGAGGTTGCCTCACTCAACAGAAAATGGCTTTTTACCCTGCCTCCAAAAGAGAGGCCAGAAATCTTTTTTTAAAGCCCTACATTTATTTTAAATCTCTTTGAGCCAAAAAGTGTTCCTCTGACTCACTGCTGAACTGTGAAATGAAAAGAGAGGTCAACTGGCACTAGCTTGATGGATTTTCCTTCTTCCTTTTCTAGAATGCTGGTGATAACTGGGAATATAGTAGCATCAGTAAGGAAAATGTAGCAAAAGATAGAAGGAGACCATTTCCTGTCATCATTGAGGAAGAAGTATCACCAGTAGATTTATTTTTGCATGAGGTAAACAAATCCTTTTTGCTTGAGCTACTGTAATCAAGTCTTTCCTGTGAAATACAATCTTTAACTGATACACAGTAAAAAAAACAAAAACAAAAAACAGATCTTCAAGGACAGAATCATCATGGACTCAAGCATACTATTTTCTCTAATTTCTGGGCCATGTTCAACATTATTTTGAAAATGTCAGCTAGATATATTGCTATCATTTAGAAAAGACAGATTATCCTACAATAATATTTTAGTAATATTTCTGCATTTAGCCCTTATTGCTTGTCATACTGAGTTCTACTCACCCAAACTGTTAGTAATCATTTATGACAATAAACAAAACTTGTCAGTTCTGGCTCTTAGTCTACTCACTGATGTGTGTTCAATTCTTGGTGAGCAAATCACCTCCTCTGACTTTTCCTGAAGTACTGGTATCTCTTGTTAAGTATACCCTTGTACATTATAGACAGACACTCAATTTTTAAAAAGGTCTGAGTCTGGGTGTGATTATAAACCAGAAGTTAAAGAGCTTTCACATTCTTGAATTGAGAAAACACTAGAAACTTCACACTCACCCTGGAAGGTGACTCTCCTGATAGAAAGGGGCTGCTGGTCCATATGACCTTGACCATCAATTGCTGAATGTCTCAATGGGGATCCCTTATTGCATGTCAACACTACACCAGCAGTACTCAGAGAATCAAGCATGGATAAAAACCATCCCATTCTTCTTCCTTGAAGAGCTGAAAAGAAGAGGAAATTTTACAAAAGCTTTATTAAATAATAATAACAATAATACTAATAATACACGTTACCAAGTAACAGATATAAAGCATTTAAAATGCTGGTTTTTAAAGAACAGCTGTGTATCACAGCTAACATATATCTCACTTAAATGATGAAGTTAAAAAATAAAAATGTCCTAGCCTGGGTCCTTCACTTCTTACCTCCCATCCTATCTTTGATATCTTATACAAAGAGAATCAACCTTTACTATAGTCTATTGAGGACATATTTATTCAATTCTAGTCCCTGGTAATAAGATACATGTTGTTTTTGGTAGAAGGATTATACAATTTCAACATTTGGCAAGATACTCAGATCTATTTAAAAAAAAACTATGATTTTTCAATACAGAATGCATTTTCATTACAGAATTCATTACAGAATAATATTATAGATTGATGAAACAAACATTTTTTAGTAAAACAGAAATGAAACATATCAAACAAGTTATAAAATCATTCAAGCCAAAAAAGTAAAAAAACTGCTTAGGAAGTCTTTGTTTTACTTTTTTTAAGTTTTTTAAATTTATTTAAGTAATCTCTCTACCCACTGTGGGGCTCCAATTCATGACCCTGAGATCAAGAGTCGAATGCTCTTCTGACTGAGCCAGCCAGGTACCTCTGTTTAGAAAGTCTTTGTACTTGTACCATCTTGTATGACACTCACTCATTCATTAATTTTTAATACAACAGTATGTTATTATATTAGCAAAAATGTGCCCAACAGTAAGCTTTGTGCTTCAGGGAAATAAAAATGGGTAAATCATTGTACGAATTCCCAACCTATCCAAAAGAGTAAAAACATTAATTGATTAATTAATTCAATAGAATATGTTAGATGAACCTTTAAAATTTATTTATTTATTTTGAGAGAGAGAGCACGTGCATGAGCAGGGAAGTGGCAGAGAGAGAGAGAGAGGGAGGGAGAGATTGAGAATCCCAAGCAGTCTCCATGCTGTCAGCAAGGACTCCTAAACAGGGCTTGCACTCATGAGCCATGAGATCATGAGTTGAACTAAAATCAAGAGTTGGATGCCTAACCCACTGAGTCCAGGCACCCTTATGTTAGATGGATTTTTAAGGTAACCATTTGGTATAGCAATAGCACGTTAGAGTATAGCATCTTCCCTCTGCATGGTAGAGAGAATCAGTAGGGTGCATTTAAATTTGACACTGCAGGGGCACCTGGGTGGCTCAGTTGGTTGACTCTTCATTTCACCTTAGGTCATAATCTTGAGGTTTGTTGGATCAAGTCCTGTGTCAGGCTCTGTGCTGGCAGCACGGAACCTGCTTGGGATTCTCTCTCTTCCCCTCTCTCTTTGCCCCTCTGCTATTCTCACTGTCTTTGTCTCTCCCAAGATAAAGAAATAAACTTTAAAAAATGATATTGGATTTGTGTCTTAAAAACTGAATAAAAATGCATTGTGTTAGAACAAGGAAAGCATTCCAAGCAGAAAACGATCTCATGGTCCCCATCTCAGAGCTAAACAGACCATCAGAACTAATTGAAAGCATGATTGTACCATTTTTTAATTAATGTTTTGGCTTGAAAAATCACCCTAATCTGAAACAAAATCCAAATTTTGGACAAGAAGTAATTTCCATGAGAAATTGTTGGCATTGTAATAGATAAGGAATATCAAAAGAAGAGAATACTCTGTAAGTTCTTGGAAGAGGTGGCAATTTCTTTCTACCTAAAAAGATGACACGTGTTGCATGATAATTTTCTCCAAGGGTAATCTCCATGGACATCTCAAATTTTATTTGTTTTGTTCAATTCTGTATTCCCAGTGTTTAGGACAGCACAGTAAATAAGGTCACACTTGATACAAAGCAATAAACCAGGGCAAACAGGGATCCAAACAATAAGGAGAAAGCCACACATATACTAGAGGAACTCCAGTTATAACTGAGGAATGGAACATATGCAAAACACAACTAAATAATTATCAGTGAAAATTCAGGATGGTCAAAATTAATGTATATAAACAAAATAGGTAAATGGGAAGGATATGAAAGATAGAGGCAATATTAAAGTGGTATTGAGCTAGGGTGCCTGGGTGGCTCTGTCCATTAAGTGTCTGACTCTTGATTTTGGCTCAGGTTATGATCTCAGGGCCGTGACACCACATGGAGCCCTGTGTCAAGCATGGAGCCTGTTTGAAATTCTCTCTCTCTCTCCTTCTCTCTCTTTCTGTCCTCTCCCCCACTCCTATACATGCTTCCTCTCTCTAAATTAAAAAAAAAGTGGTATTGACTTATAACATAAAAGTTTTCCAAAGAGAGTAATATCTTCATTGAAAATTCAAATGAAATCAATTTAATATTTTAATGTTTATTTATTTTTGGGAAAGAGAGACAGAGACAGAGCATGAATGGGGGAGGGGCAGAGAGAGAGGGAGACACAGAATCTGAAGCAGGCTCCAGGCTCTGAGCTGTCAGCACAGAACCTGACACAGGGCTCGAACTTTCAAATCTCAAGATTATGAGCTGAGCCAAAGATGGACACTCAATCTACTGAGCCACCCAGACACCACTCAGATAAAATCGATTTAAAGCAGAAGTTTTGACTTCATATCTTTGATATAATTTTCTAACTAAAATCATTTGCGATGCAAGGATAAAATTGTAGAAGAATATACATATTTTTTTAGTATCTTATTTAATTTTTTGACTTCCGGGACATTTTTATTACAGTTCTTTAATAAGTGAAGATTATATAGACAGACAGACAAATAAATGTATAAAAAGATTATTATTAAAATGTTTGCAGTGTACATACTTTGTAAGCAAATTTCAGCAAAATAAGCTCTTTAGTCCCACTGTGAAAAATACTGAGTCACACAGATATGTACAAACAACTGTATAATCAAAAATTAGAGTCCTTCAGGGGCACCTGGATGGCTCAGTCAGTTGAGTGTCTGACTTCAGATTAGATTATGATCTCACGGCTTGGGAGTTCAAGCTCCACAATGGTCTCTCTGCTGTCACCACAGAATCCGTTGCAGATCTTCCATCCCCTTCTCTCTCTGCCCCTTCCCCGCTTGTGCTAGATTTCTCTCAAAAATAAATAAATCTTTAAAAAAAATTAGAGCCCTTCATACAAAGAAATATATACAGGGAAAGGTAGAGAAGAGAAAATTTAAAAAAAAAGATATCTAAAAATACTTATAAATGTTGAACAATATTGAGCAGCATTTTGTGTATTTATACTTACACAGTATTTATACTGAGTAGAAATACTCGGTATTCATACTGAGCCACAGCTAGCATGAGAAAAGATTAACGTGGCAGATTTGGTTTCACAGTCCTTGCACGTCTCTAGTCACTTGAAACCAAGATTGACTCTTGGCCAAACACTCAAAATATGATTTTGAGAAATCTTTTTATGTTACTTATGTTTCATATACCCAGAAGAATGAGGCATGCCATACCAGATTTTCAGGACATGTGAGAATGATTTTTATGCAAACATTAAGATTAATGATGCACTTGCTTTCCTTGTTAGGATCTTGAGCTTCTTTTATCATTTCTGGTTGTATAGTAGAACATGTCTCTGTTACCAGTAATCCATAAAAATATTTGCACCCTGAGTTTCAAATAGGCTTCCTTGAACTGAGACATGTGGCATGGGTCAACACAGTTCACCACAAGAGAGAAAAATGTGTCCCGTGAGACTTGGTAATGACTTGGAAGCCTCTACCTGACCCCTGTGACCTCCACCCAACGCATTTTTTTTTCATATTGATCTTGTTCTGTACCTTTTGATATAACAAATTTTAGCTACTACTATAATATGCAACTGAATCCTAAGAATCATTCTAGTAAATCAATTAATTTGAAAGTAGTTTTGAGACACCAGAATCATCAAATGCTGCTGTGGCTGGTAAGGAAAGTATATGACATGGCTGCTATGATACAGATGTTGCATATTTAAAATTAGTGTTTTTAGTGGAATGCCTATGCAGGGACAAAAGATGTAAGTATTTAAGATGGAAGCTACCTTTAGGTTGCAAAGGGTAACACAGACCTTCTAAAATACAAGTAATTCAAAATTACAAAAACATAAGGAAGCAATCAACCATAATTTAGAATAATCAGGTATAACAAAAATGTTCAAACCTCCAATGCCTGAAGCTGAAAAATATTATAACATAATAGGAAATGTTTAAAAATGGGTATATATAAAATGATTAATAGATTAAACGATTAGAGCTATAAACAGAATGAGACAATATGAACAAATACAAATAGAGGTGAAATAGAACCAAAATTTAATTTCTATTACAGAAAAATGTAGACATTCAAATGTAAAACTCCTTGGGCCAGTTAATTTAAAAAGATATGCAAAGAAATAAAATTAATAAACTAAAGGACAAAACTAAGGATTTTATAAAATGCAATATGAGGAACTGGAAAGATGAATAATAATTAAAAGAACTTAAGTAACCTAGAATATAAAAGTGTCAATGTATGTACAAAAAGACTTAAAGATTAGTAGTAAGGATGATGAAGCAAATGCAACATTGAAAATAAAATTTTGACAAGAAATTTCTAGAATTGGTAAAAGATATTAAAACAGAATGAAAGTCAGAAAATAAAATATATTTTTAAAATGATCAAGATTTAAAGCAAGTAACAATATTACTGTTTTTGATATCAATACTGGCAATATTGAGATGAAGACACATCCAAATGTGAAAGGTAAAAGGTTTGAGATTTTACTGTACTTGCGACTTAACAAATTAGTCATCCAATTTTTTTAATAGCGGCAGAAGACACATGACTCCTAGGTCAAAGACAAAGAATTTATTACAGCAACAGCAAGAGCAGAGAGTATCAGCATTTGTATAAGTTGCCCAACGCTCAATTCACATCGGATGACATTAAGTAGACTTGGTGACATTGCATATGCAGCACTGTGTTATGGGAAGAGAACACTATACAGTGGAAATCAA